CCAGTAAATTACTGCAGTGTGTTTTTCCTCTGCTGCCAACAGATTGTTTCCCTGCTCATCCTCAGCCCCTCGGCACGCAGCAGCAGCAATCTGCCTTTCATTAGGAGGGCTGGGAGAGCTCTGCATCCTCACAACAGCTTCTCCTCCAATGCTGGGATTGATGGCAATCACAGTGAGTTCCCTTACCTGTCCTAACACAACATGCATCCGTGTGTGGGTACACCCACACATCGCTTTTCACTGCCTGCTTTCAAGCTGATGTGGAAGCTGTGGGGAGAAGATGAATGTTATTTGCCAGTAAGGTCTACTAATTACAGGACGTGATTTTTAGAAAAAAGAAAGAAGTTGTTTTCACTTGCAGGCTCTGCAATCTGTTTTGAATTAGGAGACACTCAGGATTAGAAAGTGTTTTCTCATTAGAACAAATGTCATAGATTTAAAATCCTCTTCATTTAAATTCCTCCTGACGTTCTTTGGCTCGAACAAGAGAGCTCTTAATGTCCATTTTAATTAAAGCATTTCAGTGGGATTCCAGCTGGGCAGCAATGACAGCGGGTCTGTCAGAAGTGGATGTGGCCCAGCTGAGAAGGGGAACTCCAGGGTGGGAACTTCAGCAGAAGCCATCTCTTTTTGTGGTTGTTCGTTAAGGAGAAGGACTGAGGGAAACGCAAATTAAGGTCTGCTTAGAAAAGTGATCCCACACTTAAGGAGGGCACAAATACTGCATGGGATGCGAGGCACTGCCTGCAGGTGCTGGGTTCTGCAAAGGGCTGCCGTATGCTTCCCTGAGCCACCCTGTGCTTTTCTCCCCTTGCTGCCCTACCCGTGTGCAGAGCGCCAGCAGTTAGCAGGTTTGCTGGCTGCAGGCTTTAGCATCCCACCTCTGCTGTCAGGTTTCTCCTCTTTTTCATCCACTGCCCCCCAAATTTCTCATTTCTTTTCAGGTAAAAGTTTGGCCTTCCCCACTCAGTTCCTACGAGAGCAATACATAAAGCGCTGGAAAATGGAGCAGCATCTCAGCAATTTAACATTGGTTTCCTATAATATGGAGGAGGAAGGGGAAAGCATGCAGATGGGGAATTGGGTTGTTTGGTGCCTCAATACTCTTCTTTCCCACCCCAGATAGCACCGATGCCCTCCTTTCCTAGGACCAGGGAAGGACATTGAAGAGGGAAGAAGCCCATCCCCATCTACTTCTGTGATCTCAGGTGGAGTCAGGGCTGGAGAGGGACCAGAAAGCCAGCAATCAACATGAGTGTTGTATGCCAGCATGTCTCCATGGGCACTGACAGAGAGGCAAACCGCATGGTCAGAGTCTCACCAGTGCAAATCATAGAGTTCCAGTAAAGTCAGAAACTTTGCCTAGGTTCACACCAGCATAGTGTCATGGATTGCTCTCTCATTCATTGAGCGGTGAATAAATCCAGAGACAGTTAATAATGAAAGACTATTAAGATAAGATTTAGTCTTCACTGTTCTTGTGCTTCCGTGCCCTGCCATTTGTCAGGCACTCAAATCAAGCACATGAAATGTCAGCCCAGGAACATTGCTGATCCCTGTCCTGGTGGCAGATCTATTGGTCCCCCAATGGAGAAGAGCTACCCGTGCAGCCATGCTTGCCACACACCACCAGCACTTCTACTCCCTCCCTAAGCACTGCCACTGAAACCCATTGCCTTCACATTACAGCTCATAAAAACAGTTCTTGCTATCAGAGCTGGGCAGTTTTCTGGACCAAAAAAGCACAGTGGCCTACAACGAGTTAAGCTTTCTGAAAGGAAACGTTCTCAGCTCAGTTGTTTAACCTCCCAAATCTAGGCAAAGAGGTTCGTTTTGAATGGCACTTCACAGTGACACTCTTTATGTGCTCCTCGCTCCCCACCACGTTCATTGTTTTTTGCTCTCTTTAGAGAGAATCCTGTTTCTGCTCTCACATTCACAGCTTACGAGTTGCTGAGTATGTTGGTGAGGAGGAGAGAGTGTTTAAGAGTATCTTTGGCGACGCTAAGAAAACACATGAAAATAAGTGCAGGTTTTGTTTTCAGACCATCTTCAGCTGCAGCCCTTCCCCAGGAGGATGGCTGTGTGCATACAGCAGGGCCACGCCACAGACAGCTGCTTTTTGAGGTGGTGTTCACTGAGTGTTTCTCTGTTAACACGGAATTGGATGAGCCTCTGTTTCAACCCCCCCCCTCTCCTTCCCCCCCAACCCATTTCCAACATCCTTTTATTGCTTTTAGAGTGGCTTTGAGATGGGGTGGAAAAAGAGATCTGACAGCACTAAGTTCCAAGGTCAGCGTTGTTCACCCGCCTCTGTCATCCCACTGAGCTCACAAATTGGTGTTAACACCTCCTGCAAAAAAATAAAAATAAAAAAGACATATGGAAAGAGAACTTTGCTCACTCTTGGAAGCAAACCCATTGCCAGGGCTATGACTCCAGCAGGACTGCAAGCAGTAGGCAAAACCCAAAGCCTGTGGTCTTCAGTTCCTGCCAGCAGTCAAGCAAGCAGGAACGGGCAACATCTTCTCTTTAAACAACACATAGTGCACACACACACACACACATATATATATATATATATTTTTTTTTGCTTCTCTTTTATTAGAAATCCACTTTTGCAGCAAGTTAATTTATTCATGCTCTTTAAATAGCTGCTCATAGCAGGGCTTCCTGGTGTGGAAAGCACAAATTATTGAGGACCCTCTGAGATGCACCCCAGCCCAGCAATTCTCTGCTGTGGGATTCATAAAATCTATTATTGTTGCTGCAGATTGGCCATGGTGTGACTTCGGAGAAAATTCTTTCTGTGTTGACACTGTTGCTTGTTATTCTTTCTGTACTGGCAGAACAAAATGAAAAATTTATTAAAAACTGAAGAAAAAAAAAAAAAAAAAGAAAAGAGAGAGAGAGAGAAAGAAAGAAAACCGACGTCCTTTCTCTAGCTCCCTGCACAAAAATCAAATGTAGGAGACTGAATAGGGCTATGGGGAGAGTGTGGTGAGAGAGTTAAACGTCTGAAGGGCTCATAGCCATGCACTCAGCATCCATGTGGATAAAAAGGAGTGCTCACCTCCTTTCCAGGACACAGTTTGCTTTCTTCAGGAGGTTTCAGCAGGCAGTGACCACTTAGCAGAGCTCCAGCAGCCATGCAGCCCCAAGCAGACCCCCAGCTCTGCAGCTCACATTCCCCTACCCACACATTCTTGCCCATGCTGGGGGCAGATGTGGATGAGGAGCACTGTCTGCTCTTCCACATCAAGATCCCACCCTACACCTGGGTGCCATTGGGGCTGGTGATGACTGTGGTGTGGCACAGCATCCTGGCATCCAAGCTGGGATATCACGGGCTGGATGGGGGGGCTTTGTAAAACACAGCAAATGGGTGGCTGGGCTCCAATGGGGGCAGGGGTGGGCTGCACCAGGGTCCCCTCCGAGCTGAATTCTCCTGGGGCTCTGGGGATCCTCAGTCCTCTTCCCAACCCTGCTGTGGGTTTGCTGTGCACGGCTGTAGTTTTTTCTTCTCATGCTGGGTCTTGATTCCCACGATTACCTCTGCAATGCTTTCCCACCCCATGAGGGTGACAGACCTCAGAATTCACACCTAAACATTTTTAAGAGCTAAAAACCAACACAACAAAACATTTAGAAGGATCTCTGCTCAGGAATGTCACAGAGGAAGTGTAATTCTTCTTGTGATCAAGAGACTCGGCTTCAAAAGCATCCAAACTGCAGCTCTCTGTGGGACACCTTTCTGCAGGGTTATTAATAAGGAATAATTGTTTTAAGTGCAGGAAAGTGTGTGCACTCTCCATTCCCTTCCAAAACCCCTGCATCGTTTGTCCTTAATGAATAATGAAAGATGCTTTTGTATTGCTTCCCACCCATCGTCTTTAAAGTGATTGTTAAGCAATAATAAATAAGACCTTAAAGAAAGTCAGGTAGAGCTGGTTTAGAAGGAAATTTAATTCTGGACTAATATGAACAGCACCTGCCTCTATGGGAGAGTGGGGATGTTACAGGGCTTTTGGTGGTGGCTTTTGCTCGAAAGGCTGAATTATTGCTAAGTGATTCTGAAATGCACAGCTGCACAGAGGTTAGTAGGTGCACTTTGGTCCTCCTCCCGGGGGGAAGATGGCAGCTGCCATGCCCAGGACACACACGCTGGCTGCACCATTCCCTTCCCCATCAGAGGCGATCTATCCTGGGAAGGGAAGCCCCAGCAGGAGGCAGTTTGCTGTGGAAAAGCCAACACGTACTGCTGGGAAGCTGGTGCAGTCGTGTCTCTCCCTTCCGTGGCAATCCGCTCTGCAGGGGGAGAGCTGAAACTTGGATGGGATTTGGGCTCCTTGCTACAGAAAGGACACCGAGATGCTGGAGTGAGCAGAGAAGGATAAGAGAAGGCAAAGGGACAAGGAAAAGAGTGATGGGGAGTAGCTGAAGGCGCAGGGCTGCTCCGCCTACCGCTGCCTGACACAGGCTGCTGTGAGGTGGGGGTCTCAGGGGATATGGCCTCAAGCTGCACCGGGGTGGGCACAGAAAGAGCTCCTTCCAGCAGGGGTTGGGGCGGGTGAGGTGGCGGAGTCACCAGGCCTGGAGGAGTAGAACCTCAGTGAGTCCGTGATTCTGTGAAACTCTTTTGGCAAGAAAACACCTGATCGCTGAGATCAACCTGCGAGCACGAGAAGCAGCCGAGCACAGCACAGCCGGCTGAGAGGAGGAGGGGACGGGAAGCACCCGAACACCGCCGGAACCGCTCTCGGACTCCTCGGGCTCATCGCCGAGCGGCTGGTGGAACCGGGCTGCGCTGTGAGCACGGGGAACTGTGATCCTCGCCGAGCACCGGGGCGGCAGGCAGCGCAGGCAGCGCAGGCAGCGCAGGCAGCGCAGGCAGCGCAGGCAGCGCAGGCAGCGCAGGCAGCGCAGGCAGCGCAGGCAGCGCTGCACCCTCCGCCGCGCAGCCGTGGTTCGGCCGGCGGGAGGTGAGGGAGCGGCGGGGCGGGGCGGGCTCCGCTCCTCCTCCTCCTCTTCTTCCTCCTCCTTCGGCGCGGGCAGTGCTGCTGCGCGTCCTGCCGGGCGTCCCGCTGGAAACGGGGGTTTTGCTGCACGTGAGTTCGCTCTTTTTTTTTTTCTTTTTTTTCTTTCACTTCTTCCTCCCTCTCCTCTCCCAACCTTCCGTCGGTTATTATTTTATTGGATTATTTTTTTTTCTTCATCTTGTGAGTTTTTTCCCCGGTGTTAATTGGGGGAAAAGAAGCGCGGCGGTGCCGGCACCGACAGGAGGACCAACTTTGCGCGCTCGGTGCGCGGGCGCTGAGTTGGGGCTGCGCGGTTCCGGGCGGGTCGGCGTGGGGAGCAGCGCAGATGCGCGTGTGCGTGTGTGTGTGCGCCCGCTGTGGTTCTGGGTTGTTTCTGTGCGGGTAAACGTAGCGTTTCTCGGGCAGCCGCTCCGCCTTCTGGTGGCACCCCGGCTCTTGCGGAGAGCGAAGTCGGCAGCGTCCGCGTGTTTTTTGAAGGGAGAAAAGGAAAATGTCGTTCCCCGCCCGCAGCGCCCAAAGCCGGGCTGGAAGGGAGCGGCTCCGGCGGCTCTGCTGGCCCCGAGCGGAGCTGCGGCCCCGGGCCGGGTGCTGCGGTGCTGCGGGACCCCGCCGCCTCCGTCCCTGCCCGCAGTACCGCTCCCAGCCGCGCTTTGCCCACTCCGTCCTTCTGTACTTCGTTCCGATTTGGGCTCCTTGCTGTTTTTTTTTGTTTGTTTGTTTTTTGGTCTTTTTTTTTTTTCCCTCCTCTAAGGCGCGGGGTTGGGAGGGGAGGAAGAGTTTTTCTAAGCAAAACGAACGGGGATGCCGTGGATGTGTAACGCGGAAGGGCTGCCTTTATCCGGTTATCCCAGAGGAGCAGAGCAATGAGTGAGGAGCCCATAAGCAGAGCAGACCGTCAGGCTGACCCATAGCGTCTGTGATGGCATCTCGTTGGGGTTCCCTGCTCTGGGTTTGGCTTGGCTGTGCTTTGTAGGGTGCGGGTGGTAGGAGGGGTGGTAGGAGGGTGCACTCACTGCTTGTGGGCAGTGCTGCCGTGGTCTTTGGGGAACGGCTCAGCAAAGGAAGGTGAGTCTCCAAAGCATTGCTTTCTCGAGAAGAGGCAGATGTGGCAGTGAGTGCAGGCAGGAGGCTTTATTTAGGAGTTGTAAAGAGAGGAGTAAAGCTCTTGGAGAAGTGCAGTTACCTGGAATAAGCAATGGGGATGGATCCTTCTGAAGGATCAGAACCTGATGTGTTTCCAGCAGCTGCCAGCTGCCTGCATCTCAAATGCTTCAATAAAGGCAGCAGAACTTCTGGTGTGTGTTCCTGGCTGATGGCTGCGTGAGGAGCTCTCAGACTTAGAAGCAAACCTGCATCTGCTCAAGGAGAATGTCTGGAAATAAAACATTTGACATCCTGCAGGTGCTGTGGGGTTACACAGCACTACGTGCGTTAATTGCGTGCATTGGGAAGGGCTGTGTTTACCTTGAAGTGAATTTGTGGCTTTTCTTTTCTCATCCCCTTCACACTGAGTTGCTGTTCTGTGTGGTACGGGGCTCGTGGTTTTCAAAGAGCATGGAGGCATTTCTTTAAGAGTGACTGCAGTGAGGAAGCCTTGTGGGGATAGAAGCATCACGAGTCCAGCTTTGGGCTCAAGTTATGATTCCTGTTCATCCACTTCTTCAGTCACAGCTTGAGGTCTGTACTGGAAAGGCTAAAAACATCAGAAAAGCATGCTGGAAGAAAGTGCACTGAGCAGGGGTAACATGAGAATAACTGACACCAGGGGTTGGTGAGGCATTCACACACCTGCAGAGGGGGAGGAAGCATCAGATCAGTAACAAGTTGGTTCTTTATAACTGCAGAGCTTTAATTGTATTGCTTAAAAAGCACACGTTTAGGATGATTTTCATACCTGTGCTTGCAGCCGAAGCTGAATCTGCGGAGTTCACGCTGATGTGGGTAATCTGAATCAAGCTGAACAGCAAAGAGCCTCTTAGGAGAATCTGAAACCCAGTAGGCATTTTTCAGACCTGAGTTATGTCACTTTTTTTAGAGGTGCCTCAGGCGATTGCATTTTAAGAAGACAAAGCTTTTGTTTTCCAGCTGGCCTAGAAAAATAGCAAGGATGAATCCAAAGCAAAGGCTTTCAGAAGTTGTCATTTGTGATTAAGTTGATTCTGCTGTTGTGCGCAGGGATGCTGCTGCCTTCCTTGCAGTCGTGTGAACTGTGCCTATTTTTATTTTTGCCACCAGTCCTAGTCTACCTGTTTCTGTTTGAATCAAGTGAGTCACGTTAAAGCTTCTTGCTCACATGAGTGTGTATTTAATTAGTGGGGCAGGTGTTTGCAAGCTGCATCTCTGTTACAAAATTAATTGTGTGTACTTTACGAGGGGCAGAAGAGAGGTGACACCAGGGCAGGGATTGACAGCTGCATGTGATGTCCAATTCTGCATCTAAAATACTGTGCTTCTGAAGGCCCAGGCTTGTAACAATGAGCAAAGACTGCTTTCCTTTGCACATCCAAGGGAATCCACAGTTTGCATGGAAACAAGAAGTATGTGTGCTAATAGGCGATCTGAAACTCTTCTTGTGGCTTCTGGTGTTCCCTGCAGCTGAGAACGATGGCAGTTAGCATCCCGTGGCTGCCAGGCTGACAGCCTACAGCAGAAACTGCATCTGTGGAGCTGCAGCCTGAGCTGGGGGTGTGGAGGACACCACAGGGATGCTTCAGCGCAGACAACGAGAAGTGTGTTCCTGCATTCTGCAGTTTTGCAAGCTCCTGCTGAGGTCCTTGGTTTGAGGAATGCTGCTGATGACATCTTTTTCCTAAAATGAGAACAGTTTCCCTCTCAGGAAAGCCTCACAATCTTGTAACAGCATCGGCCCTATTATCGTGGTCCAGAGCTGTATGGCAGAGGAGGAGGATGCATCTTGGGAGCTCTGCCCTCGTACTTGTGCTGCGTGCCTGGCTTTGCTCTGGATGTCCATGGGAAGGCTATAAGGGCAGTGTGAGTCATAGCTTTGGCTCCTGTGTAGCACTGACACAACCAGTGCTGCCATGCTCCCTACGAGGTCACTGTACCTTCCCATAGGGGAAGGCATGGGAGCTGACACTCTATGTATAGGAGTGCAGCTTCTGCTGCTTCCCTGGGAAGGCTTGGGTCCTGCTCCTGCAGCAGCATAGCATTTTCTTAAGGCAGTACTCTTTACAATGTGTTGAAACTGAATGCTGGCTTGCAGTAAGGTAATGTGTGAGGTGAGGCTTGGTCCCCACTGATTTCAGGGGCCACTTGCAGAGTGCCAGGCACTGGGTCCAGTAGCATTCCTGCTCCTCCAGCAGTCTATTTCTTAACATAACCTTCTGTAGTCTCAACCAGTTGCCTCACAGTCGTCTTTATTATTATTTCTGAAAAGTCTGTTTTTAAAACAGAAAGCACAGTGTTAGTTGGTCTTCACAGAAGAGGGCTGAGGTAAACAGCAGAGATGCCCACAGGCTGCGTCAGCATGAATTCAGCCATTCCATGGTGTGTTAGGGTTTGGAGCAATAGGGGCTGGAAAGTGGCAGAGCATTATCTGATGCCTTTGCAAGCAGTTCATGTTCAGGCAAATGCAGCCACGGTAGGAATGAACGTGAACTCATCTTCTGGTTGCTGCTGCATGCTGCGGAGGAACGGGCAGGTGGGATGCAGTGGTTGAGACTGCTGAGCACATCCCCTGCTGTGCTGAGATGGAGCAGTCGTGTCCTGCTGGGTCCCACTGTCCCTGGGGGGGAGGGGAGGGGGCAGGATGTCCTTCTATGCAAGGATCTGTGCCTTTCTGTGGATGTACTGAAACCCAGAAATGTGGGTGGCTTCTGTGTGAATGATGGCTCGCTCTGGAAGCTGGGAGCAGATGGATGCTGTGATTTACGAGCAGGTTCCTGAGCTCAGGACTGGAGCAGTGAAGGGCACCAGGCAGGGGATGTATGGCTGCTGCACTCCTCACATGGCTCCTGCTGCCTTTCTCAGGCAGTTTGAATCTCCTCTTTCTTCCTGCTTTTAGCAAACTCTTCTGGAAAGCTGTTTGGGGAGGGCTTGTGAGAAAAGTGTTCCTTCAGGATGTGGGATGCACTGGTTCTGCTGGCTGCCCTGTGTAGGGGGAGGGCCTTGGATTGGGGGGCTGTCAGTGTGAGCCCCTCATGTGGGTGAAGGTGAGGGGCAGGTGCTGCTGCTGGCTCTGCGTGGGGACTGTGCACTCAGCTGTGGCAGTGTGGCACAGGAGAAGTAGCGTGGCAGGGCTGCTTTCTGGAGTTTGTAATGGCTGTAAGCACCGCAGAAATCCTCCTGAGCCTCTCCAGCCACTTAGGCTTTGTTCTTTTCACTCTGGTTACAGAATTTACTCTGAATCATGCTTATTCATTTCAGCGGAGCAGTAAAACTTTGCCTTGTGCTTATGCTTGCCAGTAGCTACCCACGTCCTGGTGTTTCCCTGCAGGCACAGGAGCCATTTCTGCAGATCACACTGCAAGAGTGGAACCAGTTTGGAAACTTCAGTGTCTGTAAAACCACTGGGAAAGCTCTGGTGCAGGTACTCACACAGCCCAGGTGCATTGCTTCCCTCCAGCAGCTGTGTGGGGCACAGGGAATGGTGAAGAGAAGCTCCTGGAGGTGCACTGCTGTAGGATTCCATGCAAAGCCCACACCAGTGAGCAGCTTTGACAGCATATGGGGAGCGACTGCTGCCACATATGAGCATCAGAAGTGGGCATGGCTCTTCTTTCCTGGTAATGAGGGGCAGTACTTACCTGCAAATGGGCTCCCAGCTGCTTTGCTACAGTGCAGGTAGTGTTTTCGGGGAGGTGCTGGTAATAAGCCGTGGTTTGGGAATGCCTCCTGTGAGCAGAACCACACCTGGTGGTAGGAGAGGAACAGGAAGGGCTTAGATGGTTTTAATTAACATTGTTCTGTGGAAGAAATTAAATTGAGTCTCTTGCCCTGCTTGCATGCCAGGCAGGGGGGGCTCAGCCCCCCTGTGCTGGGCTGTTGGCTGCCTTCTGTTTGCATTGGGGAAATAAGCAATTGCTGTCAGCTCCTACCTCGCTCCTGGG